ATTACCACGGCAATCAATCAACCTTTCAATGATCATCATTACCACCGCAGTCAATCAACCTTTCAATGATCATCATTACCACCGCAATCAATCAACTTTTCAATGATCATCATTACCACCACAATCAACCAACCTTTCAATGATCGCCCACTGGTGTCTTCCACCCTCTCGCCCCCTCGCCCCGCGCTTCCCCTCACCTACCCCCCACCTCTCCCTCCCTCTCCCCCTCCCTTCCCCCTTCCCTCCCGTCCTTTGGCCCTCTAATTGCCCCCCCCACCCTTTCTAGACCGCGTTTGAACCCCACTTAACATGACTGCTTCATCTTATATTGAACGTTCGAGAGGGGGGGGGGAAGGAGGAGGGGATCTTACCATAAATAATTCCGTCTACTGGGTTAACTACCTTGTTTCTCTAGGCGCTGCCCCCTGATATTCTGTTCCGTTGGTACCGACGGGCTTAGCTCACTTGGTACACCCATGAACCGTTGAGGTACGGACCCCAAGGGGGTCGAATCCAAATGCAATCGCGTTTTCTCTCTCTGTGTTACTGTTGCTCTGGTGTTCAATCTTCCCGAAACAAATCCAAGCACCGAATCACACACCGAGGCCCGCGAACATACCCGCAAATCCGAGGCACACAGAGATCGAGAAATGGTCCAAATTTTTTGAAAAAAAAAGAAGGGAGCTGTTGCCTTCGAATCGTTGTGAATCTAACTGTCCCCACAAATCCGAGGCACACATCATCGAGCCCATCGTGACCAGTTCGAGGCGCACACACCGAGGCTACTACGGGTAGTACTCGCTAAAAACTCGTGCTGACCTCTGCAGGTAGAGAACAAGGCGCTTTTAACTTGTCTGAGAAAATCTAGGGAGTTACCTTGACTAGTATTCTTGAATGTACTAGTTCACAAAAAGACACTCTTAAAAAAGGGGTTAGCCACTGCCGTTGAATCATCGTGAATCTAACCGTGAATCTAACCGTGAATCTAACCGTCCCCCCAAATCCGAGGCGCACACTGAGGCGGCACACACCGAGGCCGTACGCATCAATCCGATGCACAAACGCAGGCTTCCAGTACTTGCTGTGTGTGTGTGTGTGTGTGTGTGTGTGTGTGTGTGTGTGAGAGAGAGAGAGAGAGAGAGAGAGAGAGAGAGAGAGAGAGAGAGAGAGAGAGGAAGCAAACGGCACATGCAAAGACCAAAGACAGACTTTTGGCGCGTTGAATCTTCGTGAATCTGTGTGTGTGTGTGTGTGTGTGTGTGTGTGTGTGTGTGTGTGTGTGCTGTCTCTTATACACATCTAGATGTGTATAAGAGACAGTCTTCTTCGTGGATACTTCGAAATGGATAATGTGA